TGGCAGAGGCAGGAAGTGAGCGGGTGGGGACAGGAGGAGGGGAGGGAGGGGGGAGGTGCGAGGAAGGGAGGAGAAGAGGAAGGTACCCACAGATGAATGAAGAGTGGCCAGGCCAAACTGGGGATGGTTTAGTAGTCTTATTTGGGGGCCTGGAGGGGCTGCCTGTCAAAGCTTATCTAGTCCCAGCGGGGAGTATTAAACCACCCCATCTCTCTTGCATTTGAAAGCTGGCAATTTTCAGAAGATAAATGTAGTATGTAGTATTGGTTTTTTGTGCACAATATGTAATGCGCCATAACCTGTAGACAGTCCCCACGTATGTGTAAGAGACAAAACAGGATTAGCTAGAGCTGACGCTGCTATGCACTGCAGTGATTTTAGCCAGCTTCTTCACAGACAGAGCTGAAGCCCAGCAAGATTGATTGCACGTTAAGAGATTACCCAAACACAAAATAAAAAGGGTTATGTCTAAGCCCCAGAACCATTGCTGCCCGGGCACGAAGTCCCCTCCACCAAAGACTCCACAGCCCAGTGGCAACAATTCCCTTTCTCACCATCTGACAGGACCCTTGGTATGTCTGCCAGATCACAGGAGGAAATATGACTCAAAAATAATAAAGTGTCTCAGCACTCAAGAAGCACGTTGAGCTTCTCGGGTTTGCATATAGTCTCGGGAGACTACATTGTAAGCATGCCTACTTCTCCGTCTGCCTTCTTGCTGTAATGTGAGGGATGCAGGGGTGGGGAGAAGGGAGGTAGGAGTGAGGAGGACAGAGGCAGGGGTGAGCTGGAGGGGGCTCAGGGGTAAAAGAGGAAAACGTGCAAGGAGGAAGATACAGAAAGAAGAGGTGACCACCAGGCTGCCCCATTTCCAAGGGGGACTGCTACCTGTATTCAAAGGTGCAAGGGGAACTACAGCAATCCCCAAACTTGGGGGGAGGTACCTCAATTGTCCGTTGAACTGTCACTTTTCCTAGGGCAATCTGCACACAGTCCTCAGGCCCAGACCCCCCCCAGGACCCAACCTCTTCCAGATGTTAGACCCTTGGGCTCAGCTCAGCCCCGCATCTGCAGGCCGCATGGGGACCTCGTTGGCATCTCCTTTGCTGGCTGTGGGCTCTGTTTTGCCCCTCTTTGGGCTGCTGGACCACACCCTCCATCTTCTCCAGGCCTCACCTGGAACCAGACTCAGATACCCCTCCCATGTAAGGGGAGGAGGGATCCCACTTTCCCTGGAAATCTGCGAGCCCTGAGGCTGGATGCACACTTCCTCCCACTCCTTTATACTTCAGGTCTCCGGGCTCAATCCAGTCCCTCTCTGAAAGCTGGCATGTGTGCTCTGTCCTTTAGGAGGGGTTGCAGGAGCTCCCAGAGCTCTGGCTACAGGGTAGTGACATGCTTTTTTATTTCCTGATATTAGCCGCCACATTTGTATTGTGTTATAATTATAACTTTTTGCCCCTTGAACTTGGTTTGAATGAACTAAGGGCTTGCTTTCTTAGCAGGTGCTCTACCACTTGAACCACACCTTTAGCCCAATGTTTTTTGCTATTTGAAGATAAGAGTCTTTTGGACCTTATTGTCTGGATTGGCATGGAGTGGTGACCCTCCAGATCTCAGATCCCCGAGAAGCAAGGATGCGTGGGCCTGTACCATCATCACCCACTTGTGTCAGGGGCCATTTTAAGCATGGAACCAGAAATACTTTGCTGCTGAGCTGTCCCTGTGGTCATTTTGAGTATCTCTGAGCGGATTACTCTCCTGAATGCTGTATCATAATCCAGTTCATTATCTGTTACTTGACATTTCCAACTTTCAGCTTATGCATAAAATTGTCCTAAGAGTTAAACAGATTTTCAAAGAAAAATCCACTGTAACACAGAGTCCCGAGAAGTCAATCTTACAAAGTAGCTTTGAACTCAGGTGATGGAGTGACTGACTGCCTGGTTGATAAGTAGTTACTCATAGATTTCTGCCTACCGGCTCTTGTCTTGTTTCGGGTTATTTTTTAAAAAATTATTTCGTGTGTGTGTGTGTGTGTGTGTGTGTGTGTGTGTGTGTGTGACTGTGGGCATCCCTATGTCGGGAGTTGAACTCATAGATTTCTGCCTACCGGCTCTTGTCTTGTTTCAGGTTATTTTTTAAAAAATTATTTCGTGTGTGTGTGTGTGTGACTGTGGGCATCCCTATGTCGGGAGTTGAACTCAGAGCCTCAAAGTCTCACTCAACTTCCTTGCTCACCACTTGCACTCTACCAATTGAGCCTTACCCTCCTGCCTGATATTTTGCTGGTTAATTGGAGATGCATCTCATAGACTTCTTTACTTGGGCAGGCTTGATCCTCCATCCCCAGATCTCAGCCTCCTAAGTTAAACAAGGATTACAGACATGAGTGACCAGTGCCTGGCTTCTTGTTGTTTTTTCTTGTCTTCATGCTCTTAAGATCATAAGTAATCTTAAGATCATAAGTAATCAAACACATTGGGACCCAATCCTCTGATACCTGGTATTTGTTCAACTCCAGTGACAGGGGGATGCTGTATTTCCAGAGGAGACTACATCCTCCTCCCCCGACAGCTGGGATCATGTGGATTGGTTGAAGATGCTCAGACATTTTGCCACAGCGAATTTTCATTGGCTTCCATTCAACTGCAATTTTATGGCTTGAAATTCCAGGGCCCATTTCCAACAGCAGTGAAATTTAAGTCATTTCTGCTTATTTACTTAACACAGCTTAAGATGTTCATCATGCAGGGAATTGATGACACATCTTTTAAAAAGAAAAAAACTAAAAGAAAAGCCTGGATGTAGGGCTCAGAGAATCCCCCAAATAGGAAAATGCCAACATCATGAGTCTTAAAAACTATAATTTGCAAATATATTTTGTATGATTTTTTAAAATAGAACTTATCTCAACATTCTACATGAGGTATTCCTTTTGGAGTTACTTTTGCTTTCAAACAAACAAACAAACAAGGATAACCAGGTGGTTCATACTTGTAATCCTAGCTCCTCAGGAAGGTGAGATCTGGAGATTCATGGTTTGAAGCCAGCGAGGATAGAAAAGTTCTTGAGACTCTGTCTCCAATTAACCAGCCAAATGCTGGACTGGGGGTGTGGTTCAGGTGGTAGAGTGCCAGCTGTGAGTTAGAAAGCCAAGTGAAAGCTCCAAGCACTGAGTTGATGTCCTAGTACTAGCAAAAAGTAAAACAAATAAACATTGGTCACTCATAATTCTTACAGGGCTCCGAGTTCCCATTTGCAGCTGAAACCTCAGTTTTCTAGTCAGTGGTCACTTCTGTATAGGAAAAATATACTGAAGCCAGTGTGGGTGACTTAGGCCAGCATCTATCTGTCCATCTATCACCCATCCACCATAGCTATCTTATCTCTATACATACATGTATAGCATATATATGATACGTTGATATATATGATGTACATCTATAGATATATATATATATATATGTTGATATATCAGAGCAATTATTCCAAAATAGCAAAAATTATAAGGAGGGGGTTCATTGGGAATACAGAGTTGTTGAGAGGTGCCTTCTGATCAAAGTTTGTGCTCTCCTTTACATGGGAAGATGATTCTAGAAAGGGGGGGGTGGAAACTAAATGAGGTCAGTTCTTAAAAGTCTGTGAGTTCATTTGGACTTTTGAGGCTGGCTATGGGAAAATAACTATGCTTTCTGCTCTTTGCCATTGTTTTGTTTCCCATCGAGTTTGCCTTTCTGTCTTACTCAGCAGAGAAAGTCTTTTCTTTCCAAGTCAAGTTAGGCTCGCCATCTAGTGATTAAGTCATGCCATTACAGCAACCTGCTTAGCAAGGCTAGTTTGTCAGCCCTGCCCCCTTGATCCTATCCTGCAATCACTCTCAATAAGGACAGGGACATTCAGGACAGGGACAGAGACCCATGGCAGCCCTGGACCCTCACAGTGGTACCAGTCCTTTTGCAAAAGGAAGAACTAGTTGTTCAGAAGAAAATGAGCCCTAAGATTAAGTATTATGGCTAGGCATCGGCGGCTTACACCAGTACCTACTCAGGCCGCTGAGATCTGAGGATTGTGGTTCAAAGCCAGCTTAGGCAAGAAAGTCTGTGACTTTTATCTCCAATTAACTACCAAAGAGCCGGATGTGGAGCTATGGCTCATGTGGCAGAGTGCTCACCTTGAAGGCAAAAGCTCAAGGTCTGCACCCAGGCCCTGAGCTTTTAAGCCCTAGGACCAGGGCATGTGCATGCACACACAGACATGCACACACATATGCACACATACACACACATACACAAAAAGTATTTTGAACAGCTAAAGCATAATTAGACTTGACTTGAAACTTTCTAGTAGTGTGTGTGTGTGTGTGTGTGTGTGTGTGTGTGTGTGTATGTGTGTGTGAGAGAGACATGGACCTCTCAGACATACTAGTAAGTATCCAGCACAATCATTTCTAGGCTGCCCCTTCTTCCGGTGTTGTCTTCTAAGTGGAGAACAAAGAGACTTTGGCGGGGTTCTCCATTGGAGGGGTATCTATCAGAAGGTAACTTTCAGAATTTCAGAAGACCTGTAGATCTAAAACAACACATTTTCTATTGCTATGTCATTAAATAGATGCCTTATTTTTTTTCAAAAAGTATTATGAATCAGTTGAGAGAGTGGGCCAAATAATATTAGGTAAGATGTTACTCAGCTGGGTGCCAATGGCTAACGCCTGCGATCCTAGCTACTCTGGGAGGCTGAGATCTGAGGATTGTGGTTTGAAGCCAGCCCAGTCAGAAAAGTCCATGAGACTCTAACCTCTAGTTACCAGAAAAAAAAAACAGACTAGAGATGTGTTCAAGTGTAGAGTACCATCTGTGAGCAAGCTCACAGTCCTGAGTTCAATCCCTATCACAGACAAAAAAATCACTCAATCTCTAAACTCATCTCAACTACTGGATGCGGTTTCTACAGGAGTGTTGTCTTTTTGAAGTAACGTTCTGTGCACCTGACTTTTGCAGGAAAGGCCAGAGATACCGGGTGTATGTTGTGATTCCCCTCCTGCCTGGGTTCGAAGGAGACATTTCAACTGGGGGAGGAAGTGCACTGCAGGCGATAATGCATTTCAACTACAGGTGCGTAAATACAGCGCGCCTGCCCTGAGCTGTCTGTCAGCCATGCATGGAAGCTGGCGAAGGGAACCTTGATGTTTCTGCACATTTATTCCAGGAAGCATTGAGCAATGGGTGTTCACCTTATTTTGTTTTTAAATCTTAGCTTGCTTCTTCATTGGGGAAATTCACACAAGCCAAACTTCATAAATAGTGGACTGAAGATCCATATAGGAATTAACATGTTAGGTCTGCCTTTATTTCTCATCTATATGCATATATATAATATTGATTAACATTATTTTGGAGCCACAAAGTCATAATAGAGGTTTACATCTTCTTTTTAGAAATGAAATGTCTAAAATGGCAAACACTGAGTGCATTTGGTAGCAAGTCTTCCAATAAGGATGGTAAAAACATAACTTCTATTAGAAAATGAAAAGTCCTATCTTGTAGAATTCTATTTGTCACCTACATCTTGGTTAAAATGTTTAGGGAACATGGCCTTATGATTGATATTCTAAGTATCTGCATCTCCAGCCAGATTCAGTAGCTCATGCCTGTAATCCGAGCCACTCAGGAGGCTGAGATTTGAGGATCTTAGTTTGCAACTAGCTGGGCAGAAAACTCCTCAAGACTTCATCTGCAATTAATCATCAAAATCTGAAAGTGGTGGTGTGGATCAAGTAGTAGAGTGTTGGCTTTGAACTAAAAGTCTGAGCAAGAGCTTGAGGCCCTGAGTTCAAACCCTGGTATTGGCACACACACACAAAAGAAATATGAATTTTCATATTCACTTAGGAAGGCACTTCTGGGTCCTAGGAGGCTTCAGACTTGTCCATTGTGAAAGTGCTGGGAGCAGGTAGCATAGAAGATGCTAGCAAAGCACCCTGACCTTTTTTCTCCCTGGTTCACTTACCTAAGAAAGAGCAGAAGGAAAAAAGTGAGTGGACAGGCCTGGATGAGAACCCGACTCCCAGCTTTCAGCTCTGCTGGACAGTTTCCTTGAATAACCCTTGTTTTGCAAATCACCTGTGATTTTTTTCACCTCTCTAATCAAACTCAAAGTGGGTGGTGACAGGTGCAAAGGACACTTCACTAAGAGATGCAGAGATGGGCTCAGGGCCTTCCTTAGTCAAACCAGGAAAGGCGATGGGTACTTTCCTGCTCTGGCCTCTTCCCAGAAGTGCCCTGCAAGAAGGCATAGGCTGACAGGAGGGGGGGAGGGGGGACGGGGACGACTCTGCGTGTGTGTGTGTGTGTGTGTGTGTGTGTGTGCGCGCATATGCGCGCGCATGCGTGTATGTGTGCATATGCATGAGTGAATGAATGCTGGTGCTTAAACTCAGGGCCTGGGAACTGTACCTTAGCTTTTTTGCTCAAGACTACCACTTGAGCCACAGCTCCACTTCCAGCTTTTTGCTGGTTAATGTGTGATAAGTGTCTTTTAGATTTCTCTCTCCAGGCTGGCTTTGAACTGGGAGCCTCAGATCACAGCCTTCTGAGTGGCACCTGGTGTGACAGAGAGGATTTTTTTTTAAACTCTCCCCATTTCTTGCTGATTTTTTTCAGGTTTAGATGTATTTACCTGCCAGAATTTCAACTAATAATTCTCCTCCCTATCACCAAGCCCCAGGGTAATTTTACTTAGGGCCAGCCTGAAAGTAATTTAGCTATTCTTTGATATATATATATATATATATATATATAT